CCTGAAGCTGAGAGCTACTATGTGAATGTGCACATATCAGCCCCATACTTTGGGAGGGGGGGGAGGAGCAATGATTGCAGCTGCTAACTCCTTCTTGAAGCCAGCTGCTGTTTGTAATTTCGCACAGCAACTGGCTTCAGGAGGCGGCTGGCAGCCATGATCACTCATTTCCCCCTTCCTCCTGGAAGGTGGGGTTTGGCAGTGTGGAAACTATCACAACTATGGATTGCCAAAGCACTATCGTGGGAAAAACTGTGATTAAAAAAAATGATGCCAAACCGGTATGCTTCCATTCTTAAACTAGCATGAGTGTGGCAGGACAGCAAACTGGTGTGATTAAGTCCCAAGTCTGGGCAAGCCTTGAGATTGCACAGTTCCATCCTTTGGCATGGTTATGAGGAGGAGGTTGGAAACTTTTACATCCAGTTTATTAACCACCATAGCTTACTCTACCATATAAATCTGACAGTCAATAATTAATCAGAACTATTGGGTTATTATTATTATTATTATTATTATTATTATTATTATTATTATTATTATTTATATTAGACCTCTGTAAAATAGAACTGGGGTGGCTTACAAGATAAAACAAACAGTCCTGTCCCCAATAGCCCCCCCTTAAAATAAAAAAAATTAAAAATACTTAAAAATAACAAGTTACAATAAATAGCAAGTAAATTAAAATAACTGTAACAGAAAACAGGGTCAGGCATAGTTTTTTTCGCTGGCCAGTTATCTACTCAGGAAAGGCCTGCTGGAAGAGATCTGTCTCAACAGCTTTTTTAAAGCTGTTTAAGGTGGTCAAGTGATTGATCTCATCAGGCAGGCCATTCCATAACCTGGGAGCGATAACCGAAAAAGTCCTCTGGGCAGTTGCAGATAATCTAGTTTTTATAGGTAGCAATAAATTAGCTATATGGAAATAACACAGTTATAAACCATTTTAAAGAACCTAGCTTGTTTTAACAACCAGTAGTTAAGATGAAGTAGTGTAATATCTCTCCAAAGAAAAGGCAGAGATTGAAGCAGAATAGTTTAAAATAGAAAGTCATAATGTGCAGTGCATTTTCTTTCTTTCTTTCTTTCTTTCTTTCTTTCTTTCTTTCTTTCGAGAAAAACATTCTAAAATCACCTTGCAAAATTATGTTTTATTCAAAAATTTAATAAGGCATCCAAGGTTGTCCTTTAGAGAAGAAGGCAAACTGGATATTAACGCTAGCATCCAAATGCATCAGAAGTAGGCTCCATTGAGTTCAGTGGGATAAATTCCTAAGTGAATGTTCTGATGAATCTGCAAAACAGTTGGGTGGAACAAAATTGTGGAGACAATTTCATGAAACTTTCTCTTTGATCAATTGGATCAGTTTTACACATTTGGCTGAATTGCTGCTTCTCTATACAGCCTCAATTTAGCACTGTGCCTGAATTTTCCTGATCTGGGTTCATATTACAGGGAGGGAAATAGATGGTTTTTTCATGAAATTCACAAGCCCTGCTCTCCAACCTTCTAAAAACATCAGTCAGAAAAACTAAACTAAACAATGGCTTATCATACTTGGACATAACTCATTAGAAAAGATCAGAATGGTCACTAAAGCTGAAAATCAGTAGGAAAAGAGGAAGACTGCATCACACAGGTGGAATGGTTCAATCAAGAAAGCCGTAACCCTGAATTTTCAATACCTTAGCAGGGGTGTTAATGGCAGGATTCTTTGAAAGTCTCTAATTCATAGGTTGTCATAAGTCTAAGATGACTTGACAATTCATAGCAACGACAGAAGAGACTGTCACAAAAGATAGGGGGCATCATCCCCTTGTGAACCTCCTGAAATTTGAGCACTCATGATGGTTGTGGTGACAATGATGTATATGTCTCAGTACATATCTGCAATCTCTGTGCATTCCAGTCCGTCAGTGCATTTTTATTTAACTTGGGGACACAGCTGTGCAATCTCCTGAACATGCATTTTGGCATCAATACTGCTAATACTCAGAACTCACACATAGCCTTTTAAAAAGTCTCCACATGGAAAAATTGAGGACAAATAATTATCCCACTTTCTAGAACATCCTCTATGGGGAAAAGACAGGATCATTTTTAAAGCGTGTTTCGGTTCCATATAACAGAATGTAGGGAACAAGATAGAAGAAAAAGCTAGGGTTGTGTTCACAGAAAACCTGCAAACTCTACATTTTCTCTAGAAGCATTCATGCACTCTCTTTAAAAAGTCTCTCTGTGAACCCATAACCTTATTGTTAAAACACCTCTTGTCTCACATCAAGGTCTAGACATTTGCAATACAGTTCTAAGTATGTCTTTCCAAGAAATAAGTGTAGAATTCATAAAAGAAGCTGTGTTAGTCTGAAATAGCAGTATGCAAAGGGATGTTGCAGCACCTTTGAGAATAACAACTGAGCAAAAGACATTGTAGCATAAGCTTTTATAGGTCTGAGGAAGTAGACCAAGGGGCCACTCACACTTACTTTTTTGAATGAAGAGATTCGCATCTCTGCGCCGATTCAGAATCGTTTCCATTATGTTTACTGTGATTGAATTTCTCTGTGTCATTTTAATCCTGTTGCTGTTCACATTTGCCACCATATTGATTTAAAATGGAGGCACCTCCATCTCCAGGAACGATGCAGCGCAATCGATCTGGTAGTGAGTTCACACTACCGAAGCTGCCAATCATTGTGGCTCTTTAAAAAAAATGCTAAGGGACCCATGGGCAAATGCACTGGTTTAAGTGGGCTTTTCACTCCCCCTCCCCCCTCGCAAACTGCACCAATTGCAGTCAGTGCGAGTGTGAACTTCATGGAAATAAACCAGTTTCACACTGATGTATTTTTGTAGTGTGAATGGCCCGCAAGTCTACAAAAGTTTATGCTACAACATCTTTTGCTCACTTAGTTTCAACTGTACTACAAATCCCTTTGCATTCCAAGAAACAAGTCTTATTTGAGCTTAATAATAATAATAATAATAATAATAATAATAATAATTTATACCCCGCCCCTCTGAGAACAATCGGGGAGGCTAACAGTACATTAAAATTCCAATACAGTCATCAAACCCCAAACCCTCCCCCCTTAAAACAGTATTAAACTAGTACAGATTAAAATCACGGTAATTAAAATAACAATTAAAATGGGATTCACTTTCTAATAATTTTGTTTAGAACCGCAGCCTTAGGGACTCAGCAGCAGCCATGGGAGGAATAAACCCTCCATATGACTTCCCATCCCACCCCACCACCTACTGGTCAGCTGAGCAGCAGGAAAACACTGGTTCCTTGGCTGTTTTCAGTTCTGTGTTGTTGTTTTTAATCCCTCAGCTAAGGAAAGGTGAAATTTAAAATCCTTCTCGCTATCAACAAGTTTATGACCAGTGTTATAGTTGTCAATTTTTAGATCTCATTTCACTCCCATTGCAGCCCCACAACTATTTAACTGTTTATATTTAATAACTGCTTATATTTTTATCCATCAGTGGATCTGGACTAAAATAAAATCTGTTAGTCTTAAAGATGTCACAAGACTCCTTTTTGATTTTCTTCTTCCCATTGTTTTTATACTGAAACAAACTAGTATAGCATGATTCTCTTAGAAAATTGTGGTGATCAGTATCAAGCTCACCTCAAATGAACTGTGTGTGCATGTGCTAATTTTCTAAGTATAAGGAGGTTTAATATGTTCCAGCAGCATCCTGACAGGGTCATATGGCATAAAGAACATGTGGTTATCTAATATTTGTTCTCTTAGGGCCCCTTCTGATGTAACCTTCAGTGTGGAGATGGAGAATCCTCTCTCTCTCTCTGTTGTGTATCTTCAAGTTATTTCCATCTTGTGGTAACCTATCATGGGGTATTCTTGGCAAGATTTGTTCAGAGGAGGCTTGCCATTGCATTCCCCTGAGGTTGAGAGCATGTGACTTGGCCAGGATCACCCATTGGGTTTCATGGCTCAGCTGGGAATCGAACCATGGTCTTTAGAGTTGTAGTCCAACATTCAAGCCACTGTGCCATACTGGAGAACATACAGTTATCTAAGGTTTGTTCTCATAGGGCGCCTTCTGATGTTACCTTTAGGGTGGAGATGGGGAACCCATATCTCTCAAAATTGTGGTCAGGTGTGATGGGTATTAAGACTCAAAGCAATTTTGAGAGCCGTAGGTTCTCTATGCCCTTCTTTATCAGCATGGGATGTCTTGAAGCGTCTTTCCTTCCTGTGTTGCTGAGCAACATTGCATATCCAAGGTTGCATGAAACATGATGCAGTTCATTCTTAACAAGAGGCAGTGTGGGAAACGGATGGAAAGATCTGTGGAATGGGCTCTTCCTGAATAATCCTGAGACTACAAAGTTCTGGGATAAATGTGGGCCAGAAGCTGCCATAGTGCAGTCATGTCTGTGACTACTGGAAGCAAAAGGAGCCTCAAAATTCTAGCTAACCTCTTGCAGAATTTTAGCTAACCTCCCTCTGTGCAAGTAAAGCAAAGTTAACTGTGTTTATATCCTTTGGAATTAAATGGAAGATTATTTTACATTCTACCATTTAAACAGCTGGAGATGTTAAATCCTCAATTTCAATTGGATCTCACTCCAAGTTATTAGATTCTTTTTGCTGCAATTACTGTTGCTTTTGTAAAATCACAAACAAAATTCTGGAAGATTTATGTAGATGTCTTTCACCCAAGAGTTCTTTTTTAAAAGAGAGAGGGAGAGATGGGGGAGTGAAAGAGAGGCTTTTAGCTGTGATTTATTTCATCCTGAAAGCCTAATTCATTTTCCTGTCAGATGGTCTGAGCAGACATCAAGGATTTCATTAGCTGCACATTCCAAATAGAAAATTGTCATTCTGCAAAAGATTTGACTTGCACCTGAAACCTCAAGACTCCCTTTGTGTGGGGCACCTTTATGAAACCGTTGAAATGTTTCACCATCTGTGCATAAAGGCAAGGAAAAATGCAGCTGCACAAAAGGAGAAAAAACAACAACACCCTCTTTATTTTATATAAATTGGGATGCCATCATTACTTTCATAGTAATGACACTTTCTATGAGGTGAATTCTATTTGATCCTGTCTGGAAGTAGTCAGTTTCATGTAGGAACATATTAAACCTCCTTATACTGAGCCAGACTCATGGCTTATCAAGCTCACTATTGTCTTCATATTGATTGGCCTCTTTCTAGATCACCTGCTCCCTGGTCCATTTAGCTGGATATGCCAAAGACGCATGCCTTAGATCTTCCCCATGCAAAACCTGTGATCCCTTATTCAACTACAGCTCCTCGCCTGATATAGCTTGCTGGCACTTTTTCTGACCATCTCCATAACCTGTGTGTGTGTGAGGCCATCACAGAGCAGATGCCACCCCAGATACAATGTTAATTTTATCCCAAATACTGTGTGTTTTAGCAGACCCAGTTCAGTCATTCAATGCCATGTCATCCACTGAAGAACAATCAAAAGCCAGGATTCCAAAGGCTTGTTCCATTTATGGCAGGAGTTGGCAACCTACGGACTGTGGGCCACATCCGGCCCGCCGAGGCCTTCCGACCGGCCCCTATCCGGTCCTGCCGCTGCCTTTCGCGGCCACGAGGGTCCTCCGGGGCACCATTTTGTGTTCCAAAATGGTGCCCGGAGTATCGCATGACCTTTCCTGTCCTGCGGGACCCCCGCAAAGTACTGCACATGCGCAAATGAGTTGTGGCTGCCATTTTGGAAAACAAACTTCCAGACCTGCCCCCAGACAGCATAGGCAGTGGTAAGATGAGCTGGTGGGGTGATGACAACTGTAGCTGAAAAAGTAACTTTTCCAAACTCCGTGCAGTTGGGAAGGGAAGGAAGTCCAGCTGCACAAATGGATGGCTGCTAGTGCACTTAGGCAAAGAGCAAGAGGTCACGTTGAGTACATAGATGTGTGCAACTTTCAGCAAAGTACAATATTTCTGTGCCAAATTGCTTTCAGTTTATGTTCATTTTTTGTTGTTCATGTGGCCAACCTTGTTAACTGTCCTCCAGTTTGTCCTGCCTCCCTGTCCTGCCCCATGTCTCATTTCAGGAGCATCCTTTTGATAGCTCCCATTTTAGTAAAAGCCAGTGGGAGTGGCCGAGAGATGCAAATCTGTTTTCTCATGTAAATTGCATGAACACTGAGGGCAAACAGGGCATAACTGATTCATGATAGAGCATTAGGAGAACACTTGGGAGAGATGATGTCTGTTTTAATACGGCAATGGCTGAGTGACATGAATTATGGAGGGAGGCATGTGGGAGGACTACAGCTCCAGCATGTCAAGATAATTGCTGTCAAAGTACAGGGAGCTGCTTGCTAATACTTGTACTAGGAGAGGATTTCTGAAAATCTGTTATTTTGAGGGGAAATAGTAAGATCTGCTTTCCTTTGACAAATACAGGATTAAAGTCTGCACAAAAATTAATGAGTGGTATTCTTTGAAACAGAGCCAGCTTGCTGTAGTGATATGAGTGTTGGACTAGGAGACTGAGAGACTGGGGTTGAATTACCTGTTCAGCCATGGAAACCCAGTGGGTGACCGCCTGCAAGTCACACACCCATCCTCAGAGTCAGATCATCCAGTGGGTTTCCATTGCTGAAGAGGAAACCAAACCCTGATCTTCAGAGTCATATTCCAACACTCAAACCACTACACCATACTGGTTCTCAGTCCAACTATTAGCCGATGTAAGAACTTTATCTCATGGGGCTGTCAAAGTGGAATTACCGCAAGATAGTAGCGTCTGTGGCTATACCTTATCACACATCTCTGACTCTGTCTTGTAGCTGCTTCATCTTCCATCTGTTCATGGACCAGGTGGCAGCCACACTGAGAGGACATCCATTCTGCTGATGACCGGGGCATTGGTGGATTGTATTTCCGCCCCTGTCCCACCAGTGTCCAAGGCTGCAACAGTCAGAAGCAGGAGTCCTGTCACAATTCCTTGTTCTAGCCTTGCTTGCTGGTGGGAGGTCGAAATATGATCCACCTGCATCCCAGTTGCCAGCAAAACAGATCTCCGTCTCTTGGTGTGTCTGATGTCCAGGACTATGACAGCATCATGACAGCTTTGAAGGACTGTGCAAAAAGTGACAGTCTCCAAACTGGTATGTTTGCATTTCCTACACCAACATGATTGTGGCTTCTTAGTAGCCTGGTGTGACAAAGTCCTAAATTACAAACTAGGCCAGCTCATGGCTGTTGTTATTAATGGCTGAAATTCGACTTCTCTTACTTAGTTATGTATGCATAACTAAGTAGTGTTGCTTGCCTTGCCCCTGCTACCCTAACCTACTTTATTGGGCATCAGCCATGCTGAGAGCAAAAGATTTGTTTTGCCAGTAATTGAGGTACAGGTGGATGCACCCCAGTTGCCAGCAGAATGGATATCCTTTTCTCTGTGTGGCTGATGCCTGATGAAATAGGTTTGGGAGGGCAGTTATGATCATGGCAATAGTGCCACAACTGTGACCATGTAGGGATCATAAACAGGAAGCAGTTATGGATATAACTTTCTAAAGCAAGTAATTTTTAAGAGCAATGAATGAATGCATAATGATTTAGGAATATTTTCTTGACAGGGCTAGTTTGGAGATTACATACGGTAAAGGACTAGAGAAATTGGCCAACAAGCTCACCAAAGTGTTGAAGAAAATGAAAACGAAGTAAGTGGCTTTACTTCTCATTGCTGATGCAGTGGTGGAGATTCCTTCTTGCCCATTATCTGTGTGGAGCTCTATGCATACATAGGAGGCCCTCTGCTTGCTTTGGCAGATGGAGCTCTAGATGCACAGCCACTCCTTGCCTCTAGAATGTCCTTTTGTCCTGTTGTGGAGAGAAGGGGATCTGCCTTGTACTCTGACATAGTAAAATGGATTGAGGGGGCTCTGATGGGGGGCTCATTCTGGATTTTACATAGTAAAATGGATTGAGGGGGCTCATTCTGTATAATACCTGAATATATTCTATATGAGCAATGGAATAGGATCCTTCCAATATCTACAGGAACCCTGACTCATGGGGAGCTTCAACTGCCCATTGAAACCATATACAACAATATTCAAAATCCACAAAGTGTGGCACCTTTATCGGTCAACCAAAATGCACAAAAAACATTGTGCAAGCTTTCAAAGTTGCACTGACTTCTTCATCAGGCAAAACATGTCCTTTGTCTCAGTCCTCACATGGCCAAGAAGGGGAACGGCCTCTGCCAGCACTGAGATCTCTCCAAACTAATTGAACTACAACAGAAACAAGATATGATACAAAATGTAGGCCTGTGACTCCAACATGATCACTTTTTTTCCCCCTGTATGATTTTCTGAAAAAGCAAACATATTTTGTCTGATGAAGAAGCCAGTGGAGCTTAAGGTTTGCATGATGTGTTTTGTGCATTTTGGCTAGCCACTAAAAGTATCTATCACTGTTTTGTGGTTTTTGTACTTTGCTGAGTTTTGCTACATGGCCAACACAGCTACCCGAGAATATGAATATGGTCAGGGATGCTTTGATTGTGTATTCCTGCATGGCAGGTGGTTGGATGATAGCCCTTGAGGTCTCTTCCAACTCTGTGATTCTATGTTTCCTACATCAAAGCCGTGTGGAGCTTTGACTCACAGCCTGTTGGCTTTCCTCCGAATTGTAAGAACATATATTCAAGCCTGCTACCCAGCTACAAAGGCACATGGTATCAGTGAAGCAATAAAAATTCAAGTAATTCTTGCATAACAGTGGTTGTAGAATCCCCTCACTTAATCATGCAGAGCTACATCACATGCAAATATGAACACAGAAAAATGTAAAAATGTAATAATGACCAGAGTCTTGGCAGGCAGAACAATGGTGCCAGAAGCTAAAAAAAAAAAAAAATGTATGTCTTCTTTCTTTGTTACTTATTTTCTTTCCTCCATTCCTCTCTATTGCTCTTCAGTTACATTTGCAGCACCTGGCTTTGTGTTTCTGAGGGGATGAAATCTGCATCAGATTTGCACAGGTAAGTAAAG